TCCCATCGCACATCACATCATCCCATCGCACATCACATCATCCCATCGCACATCACATCATCCCATCGCACATCACATCATCCCATCGCACATCACATCATCCCATCGCACATCACATCATCCCATCGCACATCACATCATCCCATCGCACATCACATCATCCCATCGCACATCACATCATCCCATCGCACATCACATCATCCCATCGCACATCACATCATCCCATCGCACATCACATCATCCCATCGCACATCACATCATCCCATCGCACATCACATCATCCCATCGCACATCACATCATCCCATCGCACATCACATCATCCCATCGCACATCACATCATCCCATCGCACATCACATCATCCCATCGCACATCACATCATCCCATCGCACATCACATCATCCCATCGCACATCACATCATCCCATCGCACATCACATCATCCCATCGCACATCACATCATCCCATCGCACATCACAATCATCCCATCGCACATCACATCATCCCATCGCACATCACATCATCCCATCGCACATCACATCATCCCATCGCACATCACATCATCCCATCGCACATCACATCATCCCATCGCACATCACATCATCCCATCGCACATCACATCATCCCATCGCACATCACATCATCCCATCGCACATCACATCATCCCATCGCACATCACATCATCCCATCGCACATCACATCATCCCATCGCACATCACATCATCCCATCGCACATCACATCATCCCATCGCACATCACATCATCCCATCGCACATCACATCATCCCATCGCACATCACATCATCCCATCGCACATCACATCATCCCATCGCACATCACATCATCCCATCGCACATCCATCATCCATCCATCATCCGCACATCACATCATCCCATCGCACATCACATCATCCCATCGCACATCACATCATCCCATCGCACATCACATCATCCCATCGCACATCACATCATCCCATCGCACATCAACATCATCCCATCGCACATCACATCATCCCATCGCACATCACATCATCCCATCGCACATCACATCATCCCATCGCACATCACATCATCCCATCGCACATCACATCATCCCATCGCACATCACATCATCCCATCGCACATCACATCATCCCATCGCACATCACATCATCCCATCGCACATCACATCATCCCATCGCACATCACATCATCCCATCGCACATCACATCATCCCATCGCACATCACATCATCCCATCGCACATCACATCATCCCATCGCACATCACATCATCCCATCGCACATCACATCATCCCATCGCACATCACATCATCCCATCGCACATCACATCATCCCATCGCACATCACATCATCCCATCGCACATCACATCATCCCATCGCACATCACATCATCCCATCGCACATCACATCATCCCATCGCACATCACATCATCCCATCGCACATCACATCATCCCATCGCACATCACATCATCCCATCGCACATCACATCATCCCATCGCACATCACATCATCCCATCGCACATCACATCATCCCATCGCACATCACATCATCCCATCGCACATCACATCATCCCATCGCACATCACATCATCCCATCGCACATCACATCATCCCATCGCACATCACATCATCCCATCGCACATCACATCATCCCATCGCACATCACATCATCCCATCGCACATCACATCATCCCATCGCACATCACATCATCCCATCGCACATCACATCATCCCATCGCACATCACATCATCCCATCGCACATCACATCATCCCATCGCACATCACATCATCCCATCGCACATCACATCATCCCATCGCACATCACATCATCCCATCGCACATCACATCATCCCATCGCACATCACATCATCCCATCGCACATCACATCATCCCATCGCACATCACATCATCCCATCGCACATCACATCATCCCATCGCACATCACATCATCCCATCGCACATCACATCATCCCATCGCACATCACATCATCCCATCGCACATCACATCATCCCATCGCACATCACATCATCCCATCGCACATCACATCATCCCATCGCACATCACATCATCCCATCGCACATCACATCATCCCATCGCACATCACATCATCCCATCGCACATCACATCATCCCATCGCACATCACATCATCCCATCGCACATCACATCATCCCATCGCACATCACATCATCCCATCGCACATCACATCATCCCATCGCACATCACATCATCCCATCGCACATCACATCATCCCATCGCACATCACATCATCCCATCGCACATCACATCATCCATCGCACATCACATCATCCCATCGCACATCACATCATCCATCGCACATCACATCATCCCATCGCACATCACATCATCCCATCGCACATCACATCATCCCATCGCACATCACATCATCCCATCGCACATCACATCATCCCATCGCACATCACATCATCCCATCGCACATCACATCATCCCATCGCACATCACATCATCCCATCGCACATCACATCATCCCATCGCACATCACATCATCCCATCGCACATCACATCATCCCATCGCACATCACATCATCCCATCGCACATCACATCATCCCATCGCACATCACATCATCCCATCGCACATCACATCATCCCATCGCACATCACATCATCCCATCGCACATCACATCATCCCATCGCACATCACATCATCCCATCGCACATCACATCATCCCATCGCACATCACATCATCCCATCGCACATCACATCATCCCATCGCACATCACATCATCCCATCGCACATCACATCATCCCATCGCACATCACATCATCCCATCGCACATCACATCATCCCATCGCACATCACATCATCCCATCGCACATCACATCATCCCATCGCACATCACATCATCCCATCGCACATCACATCATCCCATCGCACATCACATCATCCCATCGCACATCACATCATCCCATCGCACATCACATCATCCCATCGCACATCACATCATCCCATCGCACATCACATCATCCCATCGCACATCACATCATCCCATCGCACATCACATCATCCCATCGCACATCACATCATCCCATCGCACATCACATCATCCCATCGCACATCACATCATCCCATCGCACATCACATCATCCCATCGCACATCACATCATCCCATCGCACATCACATCATCCCATCGCACATCACATCATCCCATCGCACATCACATCATCCCATCGCACATCACATCATCCCATCGCACATCACATCATCCCATCGCACATCACATCATCCCATCGCACATCACATCATCCCATCGCACATCACATCATCCCATCGCACATCACATCATCCCATCGCACATCACATCATCCCATCGCACATCACATCATCCCATCGCACATCACATCATCCCATCGCACATCACATCATCCCATCGCACATCACATCATCCCATCGCACATCACATCATCCCATCGCACATCACATCATCCCATCGCACATCACATCATCCCATCGCACATCACATCATCCATCGCACATCACATCATCCCATCGCACATCACATCATCCCATCGCACATCACATCATCCCATCGCACATCACATCATCCCATCGCACATCACATCATCCCATCGCACATCACATCATCCCATCGCACATCACATCATCCCATCGCACATCACATCATCCCATCGCAACATCACATCATCCCATCGCACATCACATCATCCCATCGCACATCACATCATCCCATCGCACATCACATCATCCCATCGCACATCACATCATCCCATCGCACATCACATCATCCCATCGCACATCACATCATCCCATCGCACATCACATCATCCCATCGCACATCACATCATCCCATCGCACATCACATCATCCCATCGCACATCACATCATCCCATCGCACATCACATCATCCCATCGCACATCACATCATCCCATCGCACATCACATCATCCCATCGCACATCACATCATCCCATCGCACATCACATCATCCCATCGCACATCACATCATCCCATCGCACATCACATCATCCCATCGCACATCACATCATCCCATCGCACATCACATCATCCCATCGCACATCACATCATCCCATCGCACATCACATCATCCCATCGCACATCACATCATCCCATCGCACATCACATCATCCCATCGCACATCACATCATCCCATCGCACATCACATCATCCCATCGCACATCACATCATCCCATCGCACATCACATCATCCCATCGCACATCACATCATCCCATCGCACATCACATCATCCCATCGCACATCACATCATCCCATCGCACATCACATCATCCCATCGCACATCACATCATCCCATCGCACATCACATTCATCCCATCGCACATCACATCATCCCATCGCACATCACATCATCCCATCGCACATCACATCATCCCATCGCACATCACATCATCCCATCGCACATCACATCATCCCATCGCACATCACATCATCCCATCGCACATCACATCATCCCATCGCACATCACATCATCCCATCGCACATCACATCATCCCATCGCACATCACATCATCCCATCGCACATCACATCATCCCATCGCACATCACATCATCCCATCGCACATCACATCATCCCATCGCACATCACATCATCCCATCGCACATCACATCATCCCATCGCACATCACATCATCCCATCGCACATCACATCATCCCATCGCACATCACATCATCCCATCGCACATCACATCATCCCATCGCACATCACATCATCCCATCGCACATCACATCATCCCATCGCACATCACATCATCCCATCGCACATCACATCATCCCATCGCACATCACATCATCCCATCGCACATCACATCATCCCATCGCACATCACATCATCCCATCGCACATCACATCATCCCATCGCACATCACATCATCCCATCGCACATCACATCATCCCATCGCACATCACATCATCCCATCGCACATCACATCCGTGCCATGCATGTGTGTTTTCCCACGCCACCAGACGAGGCACTGGAAGCCATATCAGCTGCAGGCCTGGATCGACTCGTCAAGTGGAGGTCAGCCCTCTCGCCCTTCCACCAACCTATTCACCACTCCCTCCCACCACCCATTTGTCATGTGCCATGTGCCATGTGTCGTGTGCCATGTGCCATGTGCCATGTGCCATGTGCCATGTGTCGTGTGTCATGAGTCATGCCCTTCCGCCATACATTACTTTCAATGTTCCTCTCATCATGTGATGCTGTTGCACACGCCAATCGCCCCCTCCTCACCCCACCACCCCCACTCACAGGTACCTGCAGTGGCTGGTGGACGAACAGGCCAGTGACAGCAAGCACCACCACACAATCTATGCACTCGCTCTTGTTGATACCGCCGCTGCCGCTGCCGCTGCCGCTGCTGCAGGAATCGATAGCAATAGAGCACAGACGGAGAATGGCCCAAGGGAGAGTTTAGTTGCACGTGGGAAGGAAGAACGGCAGAAGCGTCTGGACGGATGGGAAGACGGCATGAGGGGAGCAGGCGATATAGGAGCAGTGCTGGCAGCAGAACAAAGGGGCGGGGCGAACGAGGAAGAAAGCCAACGAGAGGGGGATGAGGAAGGGGAAGGGTGGGGGCTTGAGGGGGCGTCAGAGCAGGCATCATTGGCAGGGCTGTGGGGGCGGGTGCGGGGAGTGCTGGGGGCGTTCCTGGAGTCGTCAGAGCTCTATGATGGCACTGCTGTGTGGCGTAGAATACAGGGCGAGCGCGCACTGCTGAGGGAACAGGTAGGTGCCTGTGCCTGAGCCGGCTGATGCCTATGGCTGCATGCATGGATCATGTGTATGTATGAGCAGCTGTGGGCAACTTTTGGCAACTTTGGGCAGCTTTGGGAAACGTTGGGCCATTTCTGGCGCATACAACATGAAAAGCAGCATTGTATTGCCACCTCCATTCGTGATACCTGCTCGCCGAGCCGTCACAAACATGTGTCTCACATTTCGTGGCTTCTTCGTTCCCCCGCACACCACCAGGTCGTTGTGTTGAGGCGACTGGGTGACCACACAGCCGCCCTGCGCATTCTTGCCCTGTGAGCGTTCTTTACCTTGCCTCCTTGCTCCCTCTCCTCGTCTCCTCTGCTCCTCCTCTTTTCTTTTCTTTATTTTCCTCTGTTCCTCATCCTTCCCTCCTCTCCTCCTCTTCTCCTCTCCTGTCCTCATTTTTTGCCACCTCGAATCTTCAATCTGCTCTGCCTATTCGTTGCTGACATGCCTCAACTATCTTGTTTACCTTCCATACACACTGTAAACCTAAAAAATTGAACCCCTAACACCACCAGAGAGTTGAAGCACAGTGAGGCAGCAGAGGCGTACTGCTTACAGCTCAACGACCCCCACGCCTTTGACCAGTGAGTGCTCCCCCTCGCCCTCCTTCCCACCTCCCGCCTTGTTCCCATCCCACCACTTGGTACTGGTACTCCCCCACTACTGCACTCACGCCAGTGCCTTTGTGCGACCATCCCCTCACGGATGCATCCATGAGCCATCCTGCCGTGGCACCTCCACATGCCACTGAGTGCTGTCGGCGAGTGGGTGTGGTTACATGTGTGCACGGAGCATGCCACACCTGGGCACTGTTGACAGTGTGTTGGCACCTAACCTGTGTGGGCGGTTGAATCTCCTTGGGCTTCACGTCTCACCCCATTCGCTCTCACCCCATTCCCTCTCACCCCATTCCCTCTCACCCCATTCCCTCTCACCCCACTCCCTCCCACCCCATTCCCTCTCTCCCCACTCCCTCTCACCCCACTCCCTCTCACCCCACTCCCTCTCACCCCACTCCCTCCCACCCCATTCCCTCTCTCCCCACTCCCTCTCACCCCACTCCCTCTCACCCCACTCCCTCTCACCCCATGCCCCGCCAGTCTACTACACCTGTACCTGCATCCGGGGGGCAGCAGGCGCCCCATGTTTGACGCTGCAGTGCGCCTGCTGCACTGTGCGCGCGCACACGTGGATCCCAACAGCATACTGCAGGCATGTCAGAGGTGCTCCTGCCACCTAGGCTGTTCTTGTGTCAGCTAGGCAGTGCTTGTGCCAGCACATACAGAACGAGCAAGTTGAACTGGGAAAACAGTTGGGTGTATGGAATACTTAATCGTTTCCCCTCGCAACGTTTCCGTCCATCCCCCCCTGCTCTTGTATGCACCCTATCTCCCAGCTTCACCCGTTCGTGACACCCCATCCACTCCTCCCCTCCCCATCCCTCCCTCCCCTCCCTGCACGCCCCCATGTGCCAACAGGCTCTACCAAGCGACATGACGGTGCAGGAGGCGGGGGGCATTTTGGCACGGCTCATGCGCGAGAGAGTGCACAGACTGCGACAGGGGCAGGTGGGGCTCGGGGCAGGTGTGCATGTTTTCACAATGTTCTCAGTGGGGCGACAACGCCTATCAGCAGGTTCCTCTCCACCCACTGCCCAATGCCCCTTCATGTTGCCACACATCCTCACATTGCATGCATGCCCATCCCCCCTTGCATGCATGCCCGTTCAACTCTCCCCCCATGCACATCCATGTCCGCCCTCTCAGGTGGTGCACCATCTGCTCAAGGCTCAGAACCGCACTTTACTCGAGCGCCGCATGGAGCTGCTCTCGCGCTCCGTGCTGCTGCCACTGCCACCACATGCCATCATGCCACCCTCCTCTTCCTCCTCCGCGTTATCATCCGCATCATCGGTGCACGGAGGGCATGCGGGCACGAGTGTGTCGGCCACGCGCTGCTCTGCGTGTCACAACCGCCTGTGCATCGACGAGCCCTTTGCTGCCATGCCCTCGGGAGCACTGCTCTGCCACCAGGTCAGTGTGCCGCCCATGCGCTCCTCTGCGTTGCTCTGCTCTCTCACCAGGTCAGCTGCTCTGCTTCTCTGTTGACACGCTCCTCTGCTGCAGTTTCCTGAGTGGCGTTCGTTTCCTCTGCGAGTTTGCTTCTCTGTCAATGCTCTGCTGCGTGCATGTGTGCTGTGGGATGAGTGCGTCACGTGCCATGCTCGCAAATGCTCTGCGACTTTGTTTTCATGCCTCTCTCATGCGTTCTCAGCGCCATCTGTGAGTGAGAGCGCTCTCAAGAACGGTCACGGTGGCGTTTTCTCTTAGTGTGTCACATCAAGCTTGTTACACCGCCTCTTTCTCACAGCATCCGTGTCGCCTGCTGTTCTTACTTGCAGTGTTACACCCACACCACCTCAGCTCCTAATGAGGGATGATAGTCGGTTGGAAGATATTCCAGCAAAGGCTGCCTTATTCGTGAAGGCGGAGTAAGGAAGGGATCATAGTAACTGCTACTGTCTGTAACACCAATGGTCTATATGGAAGATCATTGCTTTTTTATTATGATTCAAATCAAAGTGATGTAAAGAGGCAACAACAAGGCATGGGTCATTATAGTTGACTACCAAAGAGCTGCATACAGAAACGTTGCACTTTTGTTCTAAACTTCACCATGGAACTTACTGCTGACAGACAGTGACTGACAGAATTGCGGCACATACGTGTTCAGGTTCAAGTTGGAATTAATTATCCTGACATTGATGTGAACAACTTTTCCTGCGCACTACATTTGTTGAAGCCTCAAAAGAGGCGATACGATGGCAGTGGCACTGCTATGTGTGGGTGTAATATATACATACCATAGCTTTACATTATTTTTTTGCCTTCCCTTTTCCATCCAGCACTGGCTTTGCAAAGAAATCCTCAATCTTCCGGTTCCCACTATCATGCCCTTTCCTGCTCCCACTACCACCACCAGCAGCACCACCACTACCACTAGCACCAGCACCAGCGACAGCACCACTCTGCTCTCCTGCCTTGTCCATCCTTGTCCGCTTGCCGCGCCCTGCCTTCCCCTGCCCACTGTCCTCTGGCCCTGCAACCTTAATGAACGTGCCCCCACATGTGCGTGCATGCCTGCACACGAGTGAGTGTGTGTGGGGAGGACGGGCGGGAGGGGAGGGTTTGGGGAAGGAGCAATCAAGTGGTTTGCAGTTACCAGGAGCGTGTCATCAAAAGAAGCTCAAGCATGTGAATCCCCGAGATACTGGCTGGGGCTTTGGATGAGAACAGGCAGGCGGGCATGGAACGAAGGACTTTTTAGGCGCCTAACAGGTGCATGGGTCCCAACAGAAACATTGGCTAAAGCTGTGGATGGGCATAGACGGAAATGCATGAGGAGAAGCACCGGAGGGGAATGGGAAGGAGGTGGGCACAGGGAATGGGGACAGATGGATTTGATGTGACTCGAGAAGGACGGTGGTGTGATGCAGAGAGGCATGGGGGGAACAAACCAAAGAAGGAGAAAGAGGTGGGAGGGAAGGTGGGGGGCGGATGGGAAGCGGGGGAGATTCATGAATGAAGGAAAGGCAATGCACAAGACAGACATCCTCACACCCTCTCTTTCTGGACCTACCTCTGCCTGCACCCCACACCACCCCTTCTCTCTCCCTCTCTCCACACACGTCCCAACAGGCTCTTTTGACACACGTCTCACACACCAGCACCCTCCCTCACACACACCAGCACCCCTCACGCACACCACCACCCCTCACACACGCACGCCCCAATGAAACGACAGCAGGCTTACAGGTGCCAGTTACACCGGGGGTGCCGACACGTTGCAATGCGTCTCTGCCTCTCCCTCTCTTTCTCCTCTGCTGTCATCGTACCCCCATTGGCACCCTGCCCTCTCCCCCCTTGCCCTCTCTCTCCTTGCCCTCTCCCCCCCTGCCCTCTCCCCCCCTGCCCTCTCCCCCCTCTCCCCTCTGCGGTGTATGGCTGTCTGAGCGCCATGCAGTCAGCTACCGAGGGAGGTCGGTTCATGGCGCGCCGCACCTCCTCCTGACACCTGGCGCACTGCCATTGGACGGGAGAAGTGTTGGAAGAGTGATCACGGGCATGGGGCGAATCATGGGCAGACAGTTTAGGGTTAGGAAGAAGGACGGTGAGCGTGATAGGGAGGAGGAAGGAGCGCGAAGAGAAGGGAAAAGGGTGTGAGGGAAAAGACCATGAGCATTTCTCTCCAAGCGGAACAGGGAAAATGAGGAGCAGCGGACAGGCCTAGCGGCACACAATGGAAAAGCACATGTGTATATCTCTCTTTCTCTCCAAACAAAGACAACAGACTTCAAGAGCCCAATGTCTGTGACAGCATAGCATAGCACATCCCCTCCAGTTACTGCAGTTCAGCTGCTGCAATGCAATGCAACCAACGCTACCACAGCACCATGCCACCATGCCATCTCCACTCTCCTCCAGTCTCTCTCACCACACCACACCCCCACACCCCCTTCCACCCCCCCCCACAATCCCCCCACACACCACGACACCCCCTCCTCCCCCCCCCAGTGCACCTGCCACGCGTGGCGCCTGTGCACGTTGACGTCATCCTTGAACGAGTGGTAGATGGATATCTGGTACCCTCCAGGGGGGGGGGGGCACGTGTTGAGACCGTCTCAGAACCCCCCCACCCTTCTCCCCCCCAACACACCATGACACCTTCTCTCTCTCCCCCAGTGCACCTGCCATGCGTGGCGCCTGTGCACGTTGACCTCATCCTTGAACGAGTGGTAGATGGATATCTGGTAGCCCCCAGGGGGGCGCTGGGATGGACGGCACGGAGGGAGGAGAGCAGCGGCAGAGGGCGGAGGAGGGAAGAGAGGACACACACGTGACGGGCCTTCTTTAGTTGTACGCGGGTGACGCGCGTGGAGGAGGAGGAGCGAGGCGGCGGAAATGAGGGTGCATAAGGTTGGGACTACGTGGTGAGCAGAAACGGCTTTGCAATGAGAAGCAAAAGGAAGAAGCTCCTGCGAATCAGTGGTACATGCCATGCCAAGCAAGGCAGGCAGACAGGTACGGCCTTGACAAAGAAGCCTGAAACCCACCAGCACGCCTTGTCATGACTGGGAAACGTTATCACTTGCACTCACTTTCAGCTCCAATGAAAACGCACACACACACGCACGCACACCCCCCCCCCCCCCCCCCCACACACGCACACACCCACACACGCACACACACAAAGGTCCTATGTGGCACCTGATGGTCGTGCAGAGTGCTGGTGTTGATGGTCCCCATGATGCCCTGGAACATGGGGCCATGGTCCCTGGTGTTGGTGTGCGTGTGCGTGTGCGTGCACACAGACAGAGGCGCAGGGGTGTGTGTGCGAGACAGGGCGGGCGGAAGAGAACATTGATTGATGAGGTGCAGACAGACGCTCGGAGCGGGCGAGGTGGAGCGAGAAGACGATGCTCACATGTGAGAGAGCATGCTCACAATCACTGTGTGAACCCTCTCCAACAAGTGACACGCACCGCCCTGCCTGCCACCACACAATTCGTCCTTCCCACCTCACCATCCCCATAATCCCACCCTCTCTCCCCTCCCCAAATCACTCTCGGGAGTGCAAGGGCGGCAGAGGAAGAAGAAGGCGGGGATCATCTCGTGCCACCCTATGGCTACACCTTGCCCTCTCCACCCCCAATCCCAAGCCCCTCCTCCCCCTCCCCCCCTTCCCCCCGTCCCACCACCTTCGCCCCCCCCCCCCCTGGCTCACTCTCGCGAGTGCGAGGGGCGGCAGAGGAAGATGAAGGCGTGGATCATCTCGTGCCACCCTACACCTTGCCCTCTCCACCCCCCAATCCCAACCCCCTCCTCCCCCTTCCCCCCATCCCACCACCTTCGCCCCCCCCCCCACTAGCTCACTCTCGGGAGTGCGAGGGGCGGCAGAGGAAGATGAAGGCGTGGATCATCTCGTGCAGCAGCGTGGCTTTAAGGTCCGACACGGGGCGGTACTGCAGTAGTGGCGCCGACAGCCGGATGCGACACAGCGCCCCGTCGTACATGCACACGCCCGCACACCTGTGGCGGGGGGGAGGGGAGGGGATGGCGGGTAGTGGGGGAGGGAGGGAGTGGTGGACCGGGGTCAGGTTGAGAGTGGCGGGGAGTGGCGGGGAGTGGAGGGGAGTGGCGGGGAGTGGCGGGGAGTGGCGGGGAGTGGCGGGGAGTGGCGGGAGTGGTGGGAGTGGTGGGAGTGGTGGGAGTGGTGGGTGGACGGGGGGGGGAATGGGAAGGGTGGCGAGGGGGAAGCAGGGAGTTCTTTAAGAAGGCACATGAATGCTGGCGGCCGTGGGTAGACAAGACGGATGGAAATACAGAGAGAGGCGTGCGCTGAGCTGAGGTAGGCAGCAATCTTGATTCTTGACGCGCCACACGTCCCTTGCACAGACCAGACGGATATTCTCCTAAATAACGCTATCCCAACACTGCCTGCTCCTCGCTCGCACCCCTCTCGCACCACTCTTGCACCCCTCTCACACCCCTCTCACACCCCTCTCACACCCCTCTCACACCCCTCCCACACCCCTCTCACACCCCTCCCACACCCCTCCCACACCCCTCCCACACCCCTCTCACACCCCTCCCACACCCCTCCCACACCCCTCTCGCACCCACCCTCAAGTCCCGCCCACATCGCCCACCCGCCCTGCCTGCCACAGCATCCTCCTTACAGCGTCATTCGTTTGGAGCTCCACTCGACGAGGCAGGCCCCGAGGCGGCCTTGAAAGTAGAGGTCGTTATAGTGGCGGAAGAGGGCAGTTATGTCCGGGCACGGGTCCAGCAGGTCGGGATCGGGCGGGGGGGGGACAGCAGGCAGTGGCACTGCGGGCAAGGGCAACGGAAGGGCGGGTTGAAAGGGCGGGAGGAAGGGCGGGGGAAGGGCAGGGGGAAAGGCAGGGGAAAGGGAGGAGGAAGGGTGGGGGGAAGGGCGGGAGAAGGGCAGGTGGAAGGGCGGAGGAAGGGTGGGGCAAAGGGCGGGGAAGGTGGGGGGAATGAGAAATGGGGGATGCAGAGGAAGGATGGCGTGGAGGATTGTAGAGCGACAAGCAAGCAGGCAGGTATCGGGCATGCAGGGCAAGGGGTAGTGCCTTCCCAAGGGCAGATATCAGCCATGGTTTGAACCAGGTGCGAGCATGCCCCTTGGGAAGGCACTACACCTTGCCCTGCATGCAGCATGCCTACTCCACCCTCGGTCACCCCATCGCGCCCGACCATCGCATGCAGTTGTCGGATTGTGCAACGACCTACAACCCCCTTGCCAACCCGTCAACCCCCTCCCCGTATCTAACCATACCAACCCCCTCCACCTTACGCGACCAACTCGCCGCCTCCTCCGCTTCCCCCCCCTCAGCCTCGTCATCGATGGTTATCACGTCTCGCGCCTCCCGCAGGTTCCGCTCCCAGCGCCGCTCCGCCTCTCCGCCCCGCCCGCGCAGCTCCGCCGCAGTCGACCCTTCCGCCCCGCCTCTGCTGCTGCCGCTGGAGGCAAATCCCGAAATGCTCCGATCTTTCCTGGGCTCTTGCGCGGTATCCCCCGCGCATCCTCCTTCCGCTGAGGATGTTGGTCTGCTAGATTTCTCGAGCGCAAGACGAATGCCGGGATCGGATTCGGCGAGAGAGAGGGCGATAGCGAGAGCGAGGTCGTCGTGAGAGAAACCGTCGGCCGCCATGCCGTGCGAAGCAGTGCGACTGCGCGCTTCAGCTGTGTTGGACTGGGAAAGGTGGAAACATGGAGGGAATGACTTGCACTCGAGCCTTCATGTTTTCGATTCCTTTGGGCGGCGTGGAAAGTTGTGGTGACCAAGCGAAAGGGTCGACCACATGCGCGTTTCTGGCGATAACGATGGAGGGTGGGGGGCGTGTTAAGGAGGTAGGCGGGTGGAAGCGAGAATCTAACCTAAGATGCTACCATGTCAAAGAGTAGAAGAATAACTAGAAGGGTTGCATACAAAGGGGTTACAAGTAGCCTAACAATGTACACCTTCAAATGTATAAGTGTACTTTGACAAAATGCACCTACTGCATCAAAAACAAGTAAACAAAAAGCCCCTCAGCTGAAAACCAGTAGGCAGCTCGTGTAGTGAACACAGTACATGCCCAATGCAAGGCCTACAACACCATGCCATGCCATCATCTCAGAATCTACATGCAACGGAATGATTGGGATTAGGGTTTGCAAGCATACAAATAGGAGCCCTACAAATGTTGTACCCTCTAGGGAGTGCCTCACTGCAGCCTATCATAACATTAACATTTGACACACCCCCATAGGCTAAGTGAGGGACACCAGGGCAAGCAAGGTGAAACAAACGGTCACAAGACCAGTCAAGGCAAGACAAGCTCAGGGTGGATCTCAAGGATACCACACAAATTCCGAGCACAAGCAAGCGGTCACAAGGCCAGTTCAAGAGTTCACTAGGATATAAATAGGAAAACACAACAAGCAGAGCAAGCAACAAGACTACAGCAACCGGGGGCCTACCTCAACAAGCCCCAACTGCACACAGAACCTGTGGTGATCACCAAGCGCCAAGGCCTTGGTGAAGACGTCTGCAGTGTTGGCCTCTGAGGCCACAAAGTCCAGGCGTGCCTGGCCGCGTCGCTGCAGCTCTCGCAGGAGGAAGTACCTCACGTCAATATGCTTCACTCTGCTCTCCAGTCGAGGCTCTCGACACAGGAGGATCATGGCCTTGTTGTCAGCGTACAAGGTCGGTGCAGAGCGAGGCCGCTCACCAAGGTCGGCGAGCAAGAAGGTCAACCAGCCAAGCTCCTGTGCCGCCATGGCACCAGCGTAGATCTCTGCCTCTGCACTGGAAGTAGCCACAGACGACGACCGTGTAGATCTCCACGACACAGCACCAGCTCCCAGACTGAAGCAGTAACCCTGAGTCGAGCGCTGAGTCTCCACGTCGTCAGCGTAGGAAGAGTCGCAGTGACCAGTCAACGCCACTGGCTGAGTCCCTCCAAGCACAAGCCCCATGCCTGATGTAGTCGCCAGGTACTTCGCCACCCTCACAGCAGCTGTCCAGTGGAAAGGACGGTGTCTCCCAGTCGCAACAAAGCGAGAAAGGATGCTGAGGGGAAAGGCGAGGTCCGGCCGAGTACAAGTCATCAGGTACATGAGGCAGCCCACCAGCTCTGCGTAGGGTCCACTGGACTCAAAGGGCTCGTCAGGAAAGGGGCCCGTGAGTCTGTGGTCAACAGCAAGAGGAGTGGGCTGAGTGGTGGAGAACTGGAAGTCGAACCGCCGAAGGACCTGCTGCACCATGTGTGACTGCGTCAGTGTGATGGTGCGAGCGGCTCTGTCCCGGGTGATCTGCAAGCCAAGGTAACGCTGCAGCTCACCCAGGTCAGTGCACTTGTGTCTCTTCTGCAGTTCTGACTTCACGTGAGCCAGGGCTGCCCTGTCTGCTGTAGCAAACACCAAGTCGTCGACGTAGACAAGGATAAAGAAAGGAGTAGAACCCGCTCGAACAAACAGCGACGGGTCGGCGGAGGACGGGCTGAACCCAAGGTCACGAAGCGTGGAGCGAAGAGTGTCGTGCCACTCACGGGGCGACTGGCGGAGACCGTAGACTGGTCGCCTCAGGCTCCACTGGGTCCCAGGTGGGAAGGTGTCAGTGAAGCCAGGAGGATGGCGCAGCCAGATCTCCTCGTGCAGTCGGCCCTGGAGGAACGCAGTGGAGAAGTCGAGGGAGTGCAGCTCGTAGTCTCACTGCGCTGCTATGTGGAGTAACACCCGAAGAGTAGTCATCTTCGGGGTCGGGGCGAAGGTCTGGAAGAAGTCAACTCCCTCACGCTGACTGAAGCCCCTAGCCACGTAGCGCGCCTTGAACACCGGCGGTGCTCCAGGCGGCCGCTTCACCTTGAAGAGCCACATGCCATAGACTACGTTCGCCCTGGGAGGGGGAACTGCGTCGACGTAGGTGCCTGTGGATCTCCAAGACGCCAACTCTGAGTCCATAGCCGCTTTCCACTGAGAGGCCCACGCCCCTGACACTGCCTCGCGGTAAGTGCGAGGAGTCGGTATGTCAAGGGCGTCGGGGTCTCCCTCAGGGGAGAGCAGCATGGCACACACAGAGGGAGAAGCGGCTGCCGAGTACTCCAGCTCAGACTCTCTGTCCTCTAGGACGTCACAGCCAAGGGCAAACTCACCCCCGACGGACAGAGGACGGTAGGGAGGAGCTGGCACCACACAAGTGGCGTAGTCAAGGCGGTTGGCGGCAGCAAACTCAGCGACAGCGGCAGTGAGAGCAGAGACCGACGACGGAGGGAAACGAGAGTCGGTGACAAGAGTGGCGAGGACACGTGCGGCAACATGACGAACAGTGCGGTAGTAGTCAGTGATAGGAGTGGGGAGGGCTGGGAGAGAGGACGGAGGAGGAGACGGGAGAACGGACACAGGAGAAGGAGAACGACGACGAGACGTACAAAGGAGGGCAGTGTGGAGGTCAGTAACAGGGGACGAGTGACGAGCACGCGGAGGACAACGAGTGACTAAGTCGCGACGGACCGAAGGAGGAGGAGACTGGGGAGGAGGAGAAGACCAGACCGCCGGACGGTCGTCAGGAGGAGGCAACGGAGGAACAAACACAGGAGGAGACTGGGAGCGGACAGGAGGAGAGGAGGAAAAGCCAAGGGCCCGCAGGCCACTCATAGGTGGGAACAACTGCCGCTCCAGAGAAAGCTGCGGTGGCGGCTGCGGCTGCTGCTGCTGCGGCGGCGGCTGCGGCTGCGGCTGCTGCTTCGGCTGCTGCTGCTGCTGCTGCTGCTGCTGCTGCCGCTGCTGCTCCAGAAGGTCCAGCACCCGCAGCTCCTGCCGCTCCCTCTCCAACCGCTCCTGATCCTCACGCTCACGCCGGCGGGCAGCCTGGAGTCGTGTGTCGTGGCGGTGGGGAGGCGGAGTGGACTCCGCAGAACCAGGGTCGGACTCCTCAGACTCAGCACCCCCAGAACCAGCACCTCCAGTGCCAGGACCTCCAACTCCAGCACCCCCAGTACCAGCACCTCCAGTGCCAGGACCTCCAACTCCAGCACCCCCAGAACTAGCACCACCAGTGCCAGCACCTCCAGCTCCAGCACCCCCAAAGCTAGCGCCACCTGCGCCAGCACCTCCAGCTCCAGCACCCCGCGACCGAGTACCCCCAGACCTAGCACCGCCAGTGGCTGCACCTCCAGCCCCAACACCAACCGAGTCCACAGTAACCTGTCGCGGAAGTGCCAAAGGCTGCTGAGGGGACTGTGAGGAGGACTGCGGGGAGGGAGACGCTACCTGGCGCGCGACCGAGGGTAGAGGGGTAACGTGGGACACACCAGACGGGGCAGGATCAGGGGGGGGCGGGGGTACCGGAGGAGCGGGAGCAGGAGGAGGAGAGGGTGCGAGGAAAAGAGGGGGAGGCGGTACCGGGAGACCTCGACAGTGGTACCGGGTGTAGTAGGACACGGACTCGTCAAACCGGACGTCACGGGAGTCTAGGAAGTGGTGGAGGGGAGGGTGGTAAAAGGACCAGTCGGCAGAGTCCACTGGGAAACCAAGGAAGACACAGGGGACGGCGCGTGCCGAGAGCTTGTCCGCGGAGGTGTCGCGAACAAGTGCAAGGCAGACCCAGACTCGAAAGGCCGACCCGACACCAGGGGAACCAGTCCAAAGACTGGTCGGTGAAACCTCGGGCCGCGAGACACGCGGCTGGAGGTTCAGCTGGTGTGTGGCGTAGCGAACCGCGTGGGGCCACAGAAAATGGGGCGCACGGGCATGGATCATGGACGTGCGGGCGATGTCCATGACCAAGCCTATGCGGCGCTCAGCAACCCCATTCTGCTGTGGGGACTCTGGCAGCGTCCAGGACTGGGTGATGCCTTGTTCGCCGCAGAATCCGCCGAGAATGCCGGAGCGAAACTCACCCACACGGTCGGAGTGGAGACAACTGACTCGACGACCACGAGTGCCCTCAGTGGCTAGAAGCCACCTGATCAGCGTAGCAGTCACCTCGGACTTCTTCGCAAGAGGGAACACTGTGGTGTACCTGGAGAAGTCGTCAACGACCACCAGAAAGTAACGCTCCCTCCCAGACCCCTGCGTCGGGGCAGGGCCCCGACGTCCAAGTGGAGAGTCTCGAAGGGAGCGGTGGCCGGACGAAGGGAGGAGGAGTGGGGAGTGGCGCGTAAGCGACCGGCGACGCACGGAGAGCAAGGAGGGGCAAGCGAGAGAGGGAGCGACGGGAAGGTGCGTGGGAGACCTGAGACAAGTCCCTGACTGAGCATGCCACGTAGGCGAGGGAGCGACGGGTGGCCAAGGCGGTGGTGCCACAAGACGGTGCGGTGGGTGAGAGAGCGACAGGAGCAAGACGCCGCGACTGGACTGGGCACAGCGACCGGACCGGACACTACTACCTGGCTAGACACAGCAACTGGACTGGGGACCTGGGCTGGAGGGGACGCAACGATCTGAGGGGAGGACGCGACCGGGGAGCGCTCGGTGTGGAGAACGTAGAGACCAGAGCGGGGCTCCCTGGTGAACGTGGCCAGAACAGCACCTGTGGTAGCGTGTGTACAGACTGCAGTCCGCCCACCCCCCACGAAGGTAACCGTGATCCCCCTGTCCTGGAGGTATCCAACACCCACCAAGTTCCGAGTGAACGAGGGGATGTGGAGGCCGCGCAGGACACCAGAGGGGACCACAGGGCACGGGAGGGTGGTGGAGCTACGCGCAACGGCTGGTCCAGAGGTAGGATCAGCCAGGGCCACCGACACAGGTGTGAGGAGTGGTGTAAGGGTCGTGTGGTCGCGGAAGAAGCACTGAGACGCGCCCGAGTCCAGCGTGAACGACAGAGAGGCCTCAGCCGGCGGGTCACCTGACCCAGTCGCTACACAAGCACCTAGAGCAGCAACACAAGCACCTAAGGTAGACAGGCACAAGGCTACACTAGCAGGAGGCAAGCAGGCTAACATACGAACACGCGAGCACACAGATCCATCAGCACTAAAGTCAGCATCAACATACAAAGCATGCTGACGCGCATCGTCCATGGACAAATCAAAGACATCAATCTTACGGGCTAACAGACGAGACCAGCGAGGCGTGACCGCCAGCGGGCCCCAACGAGCCCGGTAGAGGTCGTCGAGGCGGCGGAAGCACCGCGCGGCAGAGTGGTCGTCGCGACCACAGAGACAGGGGCTCCCCGGCCCGGTGACGCACCAGTGGGTGCACGGGCCAGCGTCACGGCGAGGGGGGCGAGGGGCCCAGCTGGAAGTACTGCTGCTGCGGCTGGTGCTCCCAAGGCCGCCCGGACCCCACTGCGGCGGGGGACCCCAGTGCTGCTGCGGACCCCACTGCAGCGGGGGCCCCCACTCCTGGGGTGCCTGCTGCTGCTGCGGTCCCTGCTGCTGCTGCTGTCCTTGCTGTGGCGGGTGCTGCTGTGGGTACCGCTGTGGCTGCTGCTGCTTTGGGCCTCCACCAGTGGGAGGGCCCGGCTGTCCGGCGCCCGCTCCAGGGCCCCCTCCTCCCGGTGCACCACCGCCGCCGCTGCCACCTCCACCCCCGCCGCTCCCACCTCCACCGCCTCCTCCACCGCCCCCTCCACCGCCGCCGCCTCCGCCCCCACCCCCCCCCTTCCCGCCCTTCTTGCCGCTCTTGCCCCGTTTCTGCCAGTCTGCGGCAGAAATGGCAGCAGTGTCCTCAGAGACCGACACAGCAGCAGAGGCGCGGGTAGCGGTGAAAGTGGGAAGCTGAGGGGCGGCACACCCCGCAAAGAGACGGGGGGCCACCGCATCAGTGGCGGAGGCAACGGTGAGGAGACTGCTCTCGATGGTCCCTAGAGCAGTCGCTAGGAGGTCGATAGTGAGCTCAGTGGGGTGCTTCTGAAGAAGCGCATCGCGGGCAGTGGCAAGGCGGTCAGGGAGGCGGGTGACTAACCAGTGAACAGTGAGCCACATGGGGGGGGGAGCAACTAGAAGCTGTGCGTCGGTACAGGCAGCGCGGAAACCGGCGTCAAGCGAGCGGAGGTGAGTCACTAGGTCGGAAACAGTCGCAAACGAGCCTAGGTCGGGAAACACAAACGGCATGAGGAGGCGACTGAGGGAGGCAGAGGAGGGGGTGGAGTAGCGAGCAACAATAGCCTCCCAAACCCCCTGTGCAGTCTCCACCTGGTCAAAGTGGGCGGCCTCAGTCGGGGGGAGAAGCTCCGACAGAGTGAGAGCGGCGGCTGCGTCACGCGAGAGCCACACGTCCCTGGCCAGGACCCGACGGTCGTAGTCCGCCTGTGCCGTAGGGGTCGGCTCCGGGGTGGTCGGCAGGGCGGCGGGGGACGGGGGGGCTGTAGGGCACCAGACGCGTGAGCCCACAGGGTGGCGCCGTCCTGTCGCTGGCTGGTGAGGAAGCGTGTGGTCTGGCGCTGCCAGGTACCGAACTCGATTGGGCGTCCCTCCGCATCGAAACGGAGGCGACGGGCCTCCATAGCGGAGCCCATGCTAGAGGCGGCTGGAGCACGGCGGAGGCGGAGCTAAGAACGAGGAGGAAAACTACGGAGCGCTAGGAGAGAAAGCGGCGGAGCGAGAGACTAGGAGTACCGAGCGACCTAGACTAGGCGTGAAATCGTGGATCGCCAGCTACAGGTGCGAGGAGCGAGGTATGAGCGGCTAAAACGGCTCTAACCTAGGTGACCGGCGAGAGAGAGCGGCTGCCAGCCGCTGAGGGATAGACCAGTGTCAGCAGAGCTGGGGAGGGCCCCGCGCACAAGGCGGTGGTGGGGCTAAGGTGATGAACAGTGAGAGAGGGGCGGGGAGGCCGAATGCGACGGTGAAAATGGGCGGGAGGAGGATCTGACGGTGGGAAATGGGCGGGGAGGGGAGGTTGACGCGACGGGCAAGGGAGGGCGACGGGATTGGGAGGGGAGGGCGACGCGACGGGCAGGGGGAAGGGAGGCGACTCGACGGGCAGGGGAAGGGGAGGCGAACGCGACGGGCAGGAGGAGGGGAGGCGACGCGACGGGCAGGAGGAGGGGAGGCGACGCGACGGCCAGGGGGAAGGGAGGCGACGCGACGGGCAGGAGGAGGGGAGGCGAACGCGACGGGCAGGAGGAGGGGAGGCGACGCGACGGGGAGGGGAAGGGGAGGCGACGCGACGGGCAGGGGGAAGGGAGGCGACGCGACGGGCAGGGGGAAGGGAGGCGACGCGACGAGCAGGAGGAGGGGAGGCGAACGCGACGGGCAGGAGGAGGGGAGGCGACGCGACGGGGAGGGGAAGGGGAGGGGTGGCGACGCGACGGGGAGGGGGAGGGCGCGACGGGCAGGGGGAGGGCGCGACGGGCAGGGGGAGGTCGCGACGGTCAGGGGGGAGGGCGCGACGGGCAGGGGGAGGGCGCGACAGTGGGAGGGGCCGGGCTAGGCGCGCGGTGAGGGCGTGGAGGGCGCGGAGGGTACTAACGTGCGGAGGGCGCGGAGGGCACGAACGTGCGGAGGGCGCGGAGGGCATGGAGGGGCGGGCCGAGGGGCGCACTAAGGGGCGCGACGTGGGGCGGGCTGAGGGCCGCGCTAAGGGGCGCGAGGGCGCTAGGAGCGCGGAGGGCGCGGAGGGCGCGAGGCGTGACGGAGGGCGCGGAGGGCGCTAGGCGCTACGGAGGGCGCGAGGGCGCGGAACGGAGGGCGCGCCGGCTAGGGCGGGGAGGGAGGATCGATACCTACTCGTGATACCATCTCAGAATCTACATGCAACGGAATGATTGGGATTAGGGTTTGCAAGCATACAAATAGGAGTCCTACAAATGTTGTACCCTCTAGGGAGTGCCTCACTGCAGCCTATCATAACATTAACATTTGACACATCATGCCGTCATGCCGTCATGACTCATGGGTTATGTTGGAAACAATCAGTCTTAAGCGCCTCTGTCGTGTCGAAACACCAAGACACAAGCGAAGCAAAGCATATCGAGGCACCAGCGAGTCAACCCTCGGAGGTTGAAGTAACCGCTGGAGGTTACGCGAAAGTCAAAGGTCAGCGACCTTTGACCTGACAAGTACAGCGCGACAGCAAGGACACACAACTGACTCGCTACAGAGCAGTTGCCCGAGTCGTCACTGTATCGAACCGCAACAGCAACAGTAAAGCAGTTATAACTGCATCTCTTCGTATTCCTTGTACTCATATATAATCATGTATCTCCTTGTTTTAATCAATCTACTTTGCCCTCACATACTAGCGCAAGGTGGTTCACAACTCTTTAATTAACGCTTCCGCTATTACAACAACTCTACCCAGAGTTCACCCCTGCAAAGATCCTAACGGCTTTTCTCAGCCCAACATGGTATGAGAGCTATCAGGGGGAATTCAACTTCTATACCGACAACATCAACAAGCATGGCTACACAAAAGGAAAGGAGCAACTCCAACGGCTCCCAGGGCACTACTCCTACTCCACCTTCTGCCTCCGGCCTACAGACAGAGGAGGGCACGGCAACAAGACCCAGAGCAACATCTACCGAGACTCCCGCGAATCAACCCGCAAACTTCGACCAGAGCATGATGGAGAAGTTCTTCTCCTTCATGTCCTTCTACGAGCAACACCAGCAATCGGCACCTGCGCAGTCACACAACAGCAACAACAACGGAGCAACACCCATGAGTCTAGACGGCTCATCATATGCACGAGGAAATCAACAGCAGCAGCCTACCTTTGCTCCGTACGAGCGCGGGTCCATCAGCTTCATGCCTCACCCGCAGCCCTCACCTGGACAAGAAAAGCCACTGGACGCATTACAAGTTCAGTCGCAGTTCGCGCACGTTCTAAAGATGCAGACGTCAAGACCTTTCGATGGAAAGGATTTCTTCACCTGGTCGTTTGAATTCGAGTTAATGATGGAAGGCGCGCAGATACTTGGCTTCTTCGACGGGTCCCTGCCATACCCAACGAACGGCACACAGTATGAGAAGCAGCAGTACACCTATCAGTCGATGATGGCGTACACGATTCTATTGAGAAACATCACCCCGTCCCAACAGCAGAATATACGGTCTTACCGGGGTTACCGGAGCTCGCGTACAACCACTTGAAGATCCTGTATCAAGCAACAGACAGCGTAAATCAAAGTCGGTTAATGGCGCAACTGACAACGGTCGAAATGAAACCAGGCGAGAAAGGAATGGCGTATATCAGCCGATGTCGCGAGCTGCGTGACAAGCTTCTTCGATGCGGAGGGTCGATTTCTGAAGACGCCTTCGTGACAGTTATCATTGGCGGCCTCGGTCCTCAATGGCGCGCAACAAAGGCCATTCTCCGAGCCCACGGAAGAATCTCCGAAGCAGCGCTCTGCGCCGAAATCCACGCCGAACAGCAAGACATGGACCTGCAAGAAGAACGACATAAAAGGAAGACATCAGCACCGGAATTCGCGTTCCACACTCAACGACGCTACAACAACAACAACAACAACCGGCAGCAACAGCCGAAGCCCGTACCTCCGTTCTGCCACATCTGCAAAACTTCAGGACATCCGCGCACACACTGCCCGAATCGACAACAATCAACAACGCCACAGCGACAGCTTCGACCTTCAAGCAATCAAGTCGCTTCGACACAAGCAAATCCTTCGACCCAGATTCAAGCCTCAACAACTTCAACGGGACAACCTGCACAAGGAGCAAGAAACATCGTCAGCTGCATGGCAAGGCTGAGCGACTCTTGCATCACGGGATCACCACCATACTACTCACCAGAAGAACAACTTGATGAAAGAACTCCACACCGTGAGACACTGGAGCCGAATCCGACATACGCAGCTATCGCCCAGAGCGAACCATCCGGGAAGGACACGTGGTTCTTGGACAGTTGCTGCGGACAGCACATGTGTTCTTCAGGGCGCTTTGTGCAACGAGAATACCAACTTCAACGCGAAGTAGTCATCACCGTCGCCAACAATCAGAACCTGCGCACACGACGACAAGGAGTTGTTCAACTACAGTCACGAGAAACAAATGTCATCCTACAGATGTCCAAGGTCCTAATCGCAGAAGGCCTCGGCTACAACTTACTAAGCGTCAGTCAGCTAATGGCGAAGGGGATTCACCTCGAAGCAGACAACACCACCCAAGAATTCAAGTTGTATCACGGGAGAGGAGGGCTTTACATCGGCAAGGCGATCCTCAAGAACAACGTCTTCGTTCTTGACTTCGTTCCTGATCTCGGCACCGCCGACAGCGACGCCATCGTTAACTTCACCAACTGGACACACCCTCCAGACCTTGATCCAGACTTCAGTCCTGGCGGTTTCTGGTACTCACACACCATCCCTGAGACAGAAAGGACAAGAGCGTTAGCGACAGTTCAACATGCAGCAGAGACAAACATCGGCAGCAGCAGAGACAACGCCGGCAGCAGCAGAGACAACGTCGGCAGCAGCAGAGACAACGCCGGCAGCAGCAGAGACAACGTCGGCAGCAGCAGAGACAACGTCGGCAGCAGCAGAGACAACATCGGCAGCAGCAGGAACATCAACGGGAACAGCAGGAACTTCAACACCAGTCGCTGGTCTTTCAACGGCACCACTCCTCGACGACACACCACCGACACCCGCGCAACAGCTCAACCCGACACGACGAGAAGTCCACCGAAGCGCGAACGTCACCGCCGGCTTCTACTCCAACTCCGACACGTACCGATGCTCGCCCGGACACCGCGCCACCGAAGGAACCTGGCACGCAAGGATGGGACATCCAAGCCACACGGTGTTAAACAACACAATAAGAGCAGGGGTGCTCGACAAAGACTCACTTCTACTGATCGACGGCAGAGAACTTCAGCGAGCTCGAGGAACATGCTTCACCTGTCCCGAAGCAGATTTATCACATCAACCGTTTGTGTCTCACCACAATCCAAGCGCACCAGCCTACGCGCCACTCGAAAAGGTGTACAGCGACATACTGTACAACCGCGAACCCGGACAAAACGCGTACAACTACACGATCACCTTCATCGACGCTGCCACAAGATACGTCTGGCACCTCAATCTCCCAAGCCGCGACATGGCCTTCGAAGCCTTTGTCGCCTGGCTTCCTGCAGCAGAAAGAGAATCGGGCGTAAAACTAAAGAGTTTCCAGTCAGATGGGGGAGGAGAATACACCTCACAGAGGTTCAAGGACTACTTGGCAGAAAGGGGGATCAAGCGGCTCATTTCCCTTCCCTACGCTCATCAACAACAAGGCGTAGCAGAAAGGATGAACAGGACACTCCAAGCCACCATGCGCAAACTGCTACGTGGCATGCACCTGCCCAACCACCAATGGCCCGAAGCCGCCGTCATGCTGCACAACTTGCTTTCGTCATCATCGCTCCCGAACAACGCATCACCGCACCTGCTGTGGACAGGAAAATTGGGCAACACAAAAATGTTGAGAGTCTTCGGCTGCATGGTACAGTTTCGACCCCCATCTGCACGCGCCGGTCGATTCTCCCAGCGAGCACAGTGGGGACTACACCTGGGCATCGAAAAACACTACAATGCATGGAAAATCTTCGACATCAACAGTAAAGAAACAGTCGCAGCACGTGATGTCATCTTCTACGAGAACCTCACCCTCGACGTTCACCTTGCGTACGTGGCAGCAAACAGACCCGATCCCTCGGGCGGATTCAATGGCACCCGTGCCTTCGCTTCGGCAGAAGACGAAGCTGACTGGGACGAGCAGAACGTGGAAGGAGCCTCGGAAGAAGCCGGACCCCTCCCGTACTGCTCCGTCGATGTCCCAATGGATGACGAAAATCCACGCGAAAGTAACAACGCCGAAGTTTTTTTACCACTTCGCCGACAACGGTTACGTTACGCCTGCACAAGTCAACACCGACGAACCAGAACGCGTAGGACCTAATTTCGCACCTGATCCAGAAGCGGGAGACGAAGCAGTTTATCCAGAGGATACTTCACTCCCTCGCTACACACAGAGTGGGCTCCAAATCCTTGGTCTCGTCACCGCAGTTCACGGCGCAGCCATTCCTAAAGAGCCTGCGACAGTTCAGCAGGCTCTGGGGGGGGAGCATAAGGAAAAATGGCGCGAAGCCATGGACAAGGAACTGAAGGCACTGGAGGAACGCAACACGTGGAAAGTAGTTCCCATCGGCGTAGTACGGAACAAGACCATTCTCACCGGAAAGTGGGTCTTCCGTGTGAAGACAAAAGCTGACGGCACCATCCACAAATTTAAGGCGCGCTGGGTCGTACGCGGTTTCGATCAAGAGCACGGACGCGACTTCACCGAAACCTTCGCTCCGGTCAGCCGCCACACCTCACTACGCATTCTCCTCGCAATCGCCGCCATGAAGAAGAAGAAGCTGCGGCAAATCGACGTCGCGAACGCGTTTCTCTACGCACCCGTTGACGCAGAAATTTTCGTGGAACTACCGCACGGTACCAACGGGGAGCCGAACCAGGTCTGTCAACTGCTGAAGTCGCTCTACGGGATTAAGCAAGCTCCGCGGCTATGGCAGCAGTATCTGCACGCCCGCCTCATCCGCATCGGCTTCAAGCAATTACCTCACGATCAGGGGATGTACCGACTCACGAAAGGCGCAGACTACATCCTGCTAATCGTCTACGTAGACGATCTCCTTTACATCGGCTCAACTGACGGCATCACTACCTGGTTCGAAGGGGAGCTGCAGCAAGATCTCACGCTCACGGTCTCATCTACCGTCACTCAGTACCTCGGGCTCAACATCCGGGAAGAGGAAGATGCGATCTACCTCAGCGCCGCGAAATACGCCGACACCATCGCTAAGCGCTTCATACTTACACCAACCGCCATCTCTACACCGTACCGCTACACGTCAGGCAACAACAAGGAAGGCCCCGTTCTACTCAAGCCCGCCGGCATACGCGACTACCAGAGAAAGCTGGGCTGCCTTCTCTTCGCAGCTGTTACCTGCCGTCCAGACCTATCGTACTCTGCAAGCCAACTCGCAACCTACCTCAAGAGGCCCGAAGCGGAACACCTAGCGGAACTCGACCGCGCTCTTCACTACCTCGTTAGCACCCCAACGATCGGCCTAACCTACCACAAGAACGCAACCACACCGACTAAGTTAATCGGCTACGTCGACGCCGATCACGCTGGCGACTCCGACAACAGGCGTTCGCGCACCGGCTACGTCTACCGCCTCGAACCTATCGGACCTATCTCTTGGCAGTCGAGCAAGCAGGAATTAATCGCTCTCTCGTCAGCTGAAGCAGAATATATTGCACTCTGCTCAGCCACCAAGGAGGGACTTTACCTTCGCGAGCTGCTGGAAGAAGCGAAGTTAGCTGAGTTACCCAACTTCACCCTGTTCTGCGACAACCAGTCGGCAATTCGCATCGCCAACAAGAACGGCTTCGCGAACAGGACGAAACACATTGCCCTACGCTACTTCTTCGTGAAGGACGAAATCGAGAAGGGGAGACTCGAGCTGTCATACTGCCCCACGACCGAGATGGCAGCTGACTACTTGACCAAGAAGCTCGGGAAGAAGAAGTTTGAGTACTGCATGCTGCTGACTGGACAGAGCCACGTCACCAGCAGCGACACTCCAGAAGCGAAGGGGAGTGTTGGAAACAATCAGTCTTAAGCGCCTCTGTCGTGTCGAAACACCAAGACACAAGCGAAGCAAAGCATATCGAGGCACCAGCGAGTCAACCCTCGGAGGTTGAAGTAACTGCTGGAGGTTACGAGAAAGTCAAAGGTCAGCGACCTTTGACCTGACAAGTACAGCGCGACAGCAAGGACACACAACTGACTCGCTACAGAGCAGTTGCCCGAGTCGTCACTGTATCGAACCGCAACAGCAACAGTAAAGCAGTTACGGTATAACTGCATCTCTTCGTATTCCTTGTACTCATATATAATCATGTATCTCCTTGTTTTAATCAATCTACTTTGCCCTCACATACTAGCGCAAGGTGGTTCACAACTCTTTAATTAACGCTTCCGCTATTACAACAACTCTACCCAGAGTTCACCCCTGCAAAGATCCTAAGGGCTTTTCTCAGCCCAACAGGTTAAACAACACAGAGTAGCACCTGCGTAAGGAGCAAATGAGAAAACAAGAAACAACACAAACTCCTGCACACACAAACAAGTGAAACTGCCCACCCCCATGGCCCTAAAAAACCCTGAAACCAGGCCGAATACCGCCTGCAGAGGGACTTGACGCCCGAGTCTTCCCGGTAGCAGCAGCAGCAGCCGCAGCCGCAGCACCCATGGCCGCAACAGCAGGCCGTGGGGAAAACCGAGGCGAGACGGGGTTATCCGAGGATGAACCCGGATGGCCAGAGTCCAGAGCATCACTGCCTGTTTCCAAAAGCGAAAGGTTAAGACTCTTGCTTTCCGCCCTTGCCGGCGCTCCCTCTCTCGACCCTCTGTGCACGCTTATCACCGAATACTGCCCAAGCCCGGCGTACAGGGCTCCTGACGCCCCTCCCGCACCCTGTTCCTCCGACACAAAAGCATCACACCCGGATGAGCCAGCAGCTGTCACCGCTCCCCCTCCGCTTCTGCTTTTCTCCGAGGCTGGTCCAGCCACGCGGCACCGCTGTCTGAGAAGCATAATCTCCTCTTCCATTGTGGCGATCTTCTGCTGCTGCAGCACCAGCATTCGCCATGCAGCATCGTGGATGCTCGGCTCTGGCTCTTTCCACGCCACCATGCTCGCCTTGCCCACGCCTCTGCTGCTGCTGCCGCTGCTTCCCACTCCCGCGCTGCTGCCGCTGTTGCTGTTGGCTACTCCTATAGAGCTGCTGGGAGCGCAGCCTCTGCTGCCGGCCACACAGTGACCACTAGGGGCACTACTGATTTCCTTGTGATGACCTGCACTGGCACTTGTCCCGCCAGCAGCAGCAGCAGCAGCAGTGGGGAGAGGGATTGGTGGCAGAGGGAAAGCGTGCCTGATCTCGCCTTCTGAGGCACTAGCATGGACGGCAGCAAACATCTCACAAGTGGCAGCAGCAGCGAAGTGGTCTAAGCTGCCATCCAGAGCTGTTGCCATGGGTCCGTGCCTTATCACGGGCATGGTTCCGCGGCGGATCAGCGACCAAGTGCCACTTCCCACTCTGTTTCCAGACCTGCCACTGCCAGCCACACTGCTAGCAGCAGAAGAAGCAGCAGCCGACACTGCCACACTCGATCTTATTGCTTCCATGCTGTTCCCATTCTCACCAACCGTGGTGTTGTTGTTGGTGGTGGTGGTGGTGGTGGTGGCGTTTGTGGTGGTGGTGGTGATGCTGCTGCTGCTACTGTTGCCACTGCAACTCTTGGCACGCAAGCCAAAGAGGCCGCGGCGGCCGTGCAGGGAGGAGTAGTTGAAGCTGCTGGCAATGCGAGAGATGAAACGAGAGCGCGCAGCAGAGGCGATCCAGCCGCGCGAGTCGGAAGCAGCATGCGACACCGACCCGTCAACCAGCTCCTCCGCCGCCCATGCTGACGCCGCCGCTGCTGCTGCCTCGTCCTCCTCGTCAACGCTGCAATCCTCATCAGTATCGCAATGATTGTCAATCTCTTCATCGGGAGCAGGAGAAGCTGGAGTTGCAGGAACAAGAGCAGAGCTTTGAGGGACGTGAGATTCTGAAGAAGCAGAGCCAGCAGACTCAGTAGTAGCTTCTGAACCGGGTGAGGCAGAGGCGGATGCAGCACCTGACAGGGCCGGGCCATCTGAAGCAGCAGCAGGAGAAGCAGCAGGGGAAGCCGTAACGAGAGAGGTGGGGGGCCGGGAGGGCGTGGCGGTCGGCATGTCACGGGCGTAAGACGAGGAGCGCGCGGACGAGGAGCGAGTGGAAGAGGAGCGGCTGAGCGTGCGCAGACTGACTAGGAACTCCAAATCCAAGGGCCCGCTTTCCAGGTCGAACAGCTGGCCACGGGGGGAGAGGGGAGGAGAAGGATGGGGAAGAGGAGAAGTGGTGAGGTGCAGTGGGTGTGAGAGGCCATTCAGACTCGATAGCTAACGGGCATGTATGCACACTGAAAGTGTACGGGATGGGGGGACAGATGGACGGACGGATGGGTCTAGAGCTCACAAGAGCGACTCCCTTGGGCAGCCTTACCTCCTGCAGGATGCGGCCCGACGGGGTCTTCTGGTGGAAGATGGGCCGTCGACCCTCCGTCGACTTCACCAATGCTTCCTTGCCAGGCGTAGTGGCGCTGCCTCCTCCTGCCACCCGCGGCCGCCTGCCGCGCAGATCCGTCCAATCCTCAAACAGCGAGTTCCCGGCTCTCCCAGCGAGTGCGTGTGACCTCTCAGGATACTCCTCGCCGCTGCTTCCGCCCCTGGCGGAGCCGTCACGACTGCCATCAGTGGTGGCGTTAGACGAGGAGGGATTGACGCATGCTGACGAGCCGCACTGCCACGAAAACCCGGGTCGAGCACCCGAGGCCGCTGCAGCGGCTGCTCCCAAGGATTCGCCGCCTTCCTTGTCGCCATCCACCGCAGCGCATCGCAGCTCGTTCTCAGAACAGGGAATTAATCCAACGGCGTCCGGGGCCTGCGAGTGGGAAACAACGGCTGAGCCATCAGTCTGGGGGCTTGGAGCAACGGCCGCGCGTAGCTCCGCTGTTCCGTCAAGTGGACGGCGACGCGGCAAGCGCGGCGTTGGCACGTCAGCAACCGCAGCGTCGTCCATCTTCAAGTTCCCGTCGAAATAGACCTCGCTTTGGCGCAGTACAAACTCCGAGCCGCCGGTGTGAGCACAGACTGCTGAGGTGTCAAGATGCGGCTGCGCTGGTACTTCGAGGGAGTCTAAGAATGCCATCATGGGCCCGGGGAAGCGCGACAGCGTCGCCGCCGCCGCGTGCGCGCCGTGCCGCATCATCATGCTTGCCGCCTCGGCCTGGAATCCGCCTGACCCCGCGAACGCCGCCGCCGTCGACGGCAGGTACGTCGTGAGCGACGACTGTCGCAGCAGAGGCGCCAGCAAACGCAGCCGCGCGGCCCGCGCGGCGATATGCCAGGAGCAGCTTTCCTCATCAGTCGAGTCGACTGGGTGTCCCGGTTCCGTGTTGCCGCCTTCAACTTTTGTCTCCCCTGGCGATGTCGCGAACTTGCCGGCGTATTCGTCGTCGTCTCCAGAATATTCTCCCGCCGTTGCTCCGCCGCAAGCGTCGCCGCTCGCAGATATGATATGCTGAGCGACATCATGATGTGCTGTCCATGCGTCAGATATCGATGCGCTTCGGAAACAGTCGCGCGCAGCGTCAGAGTGGACAAAGCCGAGGCCAGAAGGCGGTAGTAACGCCGGTCCATCGTCAGGCGACGACGGGGCTGCCACTATCGCCTCAAACACGCTCTGAAAGGCGGCGCCGCCGCAACCGCCGCGACGGCAGCTCGCAACCTCCGCACGCTTGTGGTCGCTGGCTCCGTCGAAAGCGGCGCCGCATTTTCCGGAGTCACCGGCGCTGCCTTCATGATTAGTAAGCTTTCTGGCATACTGCACATGATCGGGGAGCTCAGTACAACTAGAGGCGGTTGTAGCGGCCGGCTGGCTCCGCTCGGGGCTTGTCGTTCGCGCTCGTTCGAGCGCCGGCGTCGTGGGCGAGAGCTCTCGAGGCAGGTGTACTTGTAAGAAAGACTCACTCTGCGACACAGGTGGTTCCGACTGCGGCGGTGACGGAGGCTGCTTCTGCGGGTGGGACAGCGACGACAGCAATGTATGGTAGTGAGGGTCGTGGTGAGGAGAATCGGGTTGGACAATCTGGCGTTGGGGATCGATTAGCGCGTAAGTTTCGAGCGACGATAAGCGGCTGTTGGCGTCTAGCGAATGTCGGCTACCCGCGCGGCGGAGCTCGTGGTTCGGAAACTCCGCGAGAACGCGATCAACGGAGATTCGCTGCTCGTACAATCGCACGCTGTCGTCAGGTAGTATGACGATCACAGACGACACGTTGAGCGACGGACAGGGGGAAAGTGAGGGCGACGCTGTACCGAATGATTGCTGCAGTGCGGGAGAGCGACAGGAGAAGGAGGAGGGCGAGGAGAGGAGAGACGAGGCCTTTCAAATGTCGCCATGGCCACTGTTTGTTGAGAACTTCAGTACTTGTTGCTGACAGCAGTACTCGATTCGAAAATTTGGTTGACAAAATGCTTGAATGATGTGATAGATTGTAAGATTGAATGGCATCCAGTGCTACTAATTATACATTATAGCTTGTGGTTGCACAAAACAAAGAACGCGTTTTGCCAATCGTGCAATGCTACACTGGATACACGACTCCCCTTTCCCATCATGGGTCTTGCTTCACTCTTCATTCGCGAATCGCACCCTTGGTGGCTGGGGGCAATCCGGGTATGAATACTTTACTGTACTAGGGTTACCACCTCTACTACAGTTCCTAGATTTCCGGTAATCCAGCGTGTTTTGAATGGGAAATCTGGGAAACTTCTTTCGGCCATTTTCAGGTGCATGCAACTTAGTCTAGGAACTGTATTCAGGTGCATGCCATGTTATTGGGCAGGTGTGTACACTTTACGCAGCTTAGAAATTTGTTATCGTAAAATTACGCGCTTCCCAAGATTCGTTTCTGCACGCCCAAGAAAAAAAATGTTGATTTGCCATGCGCAGCGTCCGTCACCCGCGTCAACAGTACAGCTGATCTAGCATTTAAATTTGTTCAAGAAGAGATGGGGCGAAACAGAAATTCGCGTTGAAATTGGGCAAACATGCAATGAATGCTTCTGGTGACGTCAGAAATGGAGAATCGAGAGCCAACCATTCCGATTTCGGTTGGCGTAATCCGAAATCGCATCTATTATCGACTGTTTGTGCTAAATCGAAACGAAATTCGGGAAGCGCGTCAGTTTACGATAATACGTTTTTAAGCTGCGTAAAGTGTACACACCTGCCCAATAACATGGCATGCACCTGAATACAGTTCCTAGACTAAGTTGCATGCACCTGAAAATGGCCGAACTTCTTTTCTTCCGATCAGGTAATCCAGACTGATTTGTTTTTGTCGTGGGCCCGTCAACCGCACAAGAGTTCGTCCTTTCGAACTCTGCTCTCAGGTTGCCTCTGGGCCAGTGGGCGGGCGCTATATTGGAGCGGGCGGGAGATCCATCCAGAAAACGGCTGCTGTGAGCGAGCGACTGCATGCGGCTGGGTGAGCATCGAAAGGCAACGGAGATAGAGGGGTGGGGGGGTCATGACCCTAGGGAACCACTTTTGTAAACTCTCAAAGAATCATGAGCACGATTTTGAAGTTACAACGGGGTTAGCGTTGAGTTAGAGCCTCGATTTGCTAGCAAAATCCACAAAGTGGTTGATATGGGTTGGAGGCCTCCTGGGCCAATATGGACCCTTGTCAAACATGGAATCCTTCGAAAAACATTATTTGTTTTTGGTCAAGACAGTGCGATTGCTTTGGACTGACTGACGTACTGAAATGGCAGTTTTTTTCTGCTTGTACATTTACGAATAGGACAAAACAAACAGTCGCACACAGTTTGCGACAGGCATTCGAATTCAAAGTACACCCTCATTCTTTCCTTTCTCACCGTTGGAAGCACTGGCTACAGTGTTTGGACGTAGCGGGCTGGTGCGATAACTCGGTGCGGGCAAAGTCGCACGACGTGACAAACAAGCCTCGGCCCACCCTAAACCGTTTTCACTGAATAACTGTCTTAACCGTTCAAAATATACCAGTACCATTCTAGAACGTATTCAAACTTGACTAAACGCCTTTGGTCAAATTGTCACTATAACGTATGTGATAGGACCTTCTTTGGTCCGGTGCGGCTACACTAAGCGTCTTGGTCAGTATAACATATGCCAGTATCGAGAATGAGGGTGTAGTTGGAACTTGGATTGGAACGTGAAATAAGGTCCTTTTTTCGTGCTCGCTCAAATGTGACTCCGCCATACCCATCGTTTGATAGATACACTCATAAGACGGGGCGTTTCAGAAGAAGCCCAGGAGTGCGGCTTAATGCTGGCTTCTACATGCTTCAACTTAATCTGCGATTGAGTTGATTTACTTAAATAACGGAACAGCAGCATTTTCTCCAGCAATCAGTATGGAAAGTAGCAGTTTATTCATTTTCTTTTTCTGAAGTTGAGGAACAAAAGGAAACCAACAAGTAAACAACACTCTGTATAACGTCCACCCAGCAACCGTTAGGGCGTGGGCCCAATCGAGTTTGATCGCATCTGATCTGATCTGGTCGGATCTGATCGGGTTGCTTGTGATCGCAGTGCCCGAGCCGCCCGATCAGAGATGTTTTTCGAAGAAGTTTTCCAGCGTCTGCTTAGCAAGCGCGGTACATTTACCTCGAATTTTCGTCCCCATTCTAGCGAGATTGGCGACCTAAGTCACCTGGCGAAAATCCTCGTTTCACTGTAACTGCAACTGTGTAACTTCTCGCAAGCGTCGCTGTGGGCCCCGATTACATGCAATCAGGTGATCGCCTGTGATCGAGGAAAATCGACTCTGATCGGGGTGAAAATCGGGTCTGATTGAGTTGGGGCGATCAGCTGATCGCGATCAGCTGATTGCCCCCGATTGCATGAAATTGGCTTCCAGTCTTCCTAGAAATTATTGATCGCGTGTGATCGAGGCGATCAAACTCGATTGGGCCCACGTCCTTACCACAGTCCAGGAGGGAAGGAAGTCAGGAGTGACCCAAAACGCCATCTTCTGCAACAATCTAGTCCTTGTGGATTGCCACACTTGTGACAGCCGGACTTTTACATAGTCCAGACTTATCCTCGTGACTAGTTGTGAATAAGTCACAAAGTCGTTACTGCCATCTTAACCATAACTTTCTTCTCGTCACCATTGGTTAAGGGCGTGTCTGAAGTGCAAACGTCGAGTTTCGTCAAATTTCGTCGACGAAACTCATCCGTGGGACCCACGCGTGTTGGTGTCTGAAGTGCAGCCTGACATCCCTCGACGAAACTCGACGTTCGTGCACATGTCGAGGGATGTCGAACAGTGATACCGGGCAGCTGTTTGAGTCACTGTAGTCAGTGAGTGTTTCAAAAACAATTCTTCGACACGCCATGTCTGCATAGCTGTGGCAAACACACGTGAATAAGAACTAAGACGAGAGCGACACGTGCTAGAGAAATTTCGCTGGCAATGTGACAGTAGAATATCCGGTGTTACCAGCAACAATCTATGCTAAGCGAAATTCGCGAGATTGCAAACAATTGAGTTACATGAATGATTCTGTTAATTACAACAATGATTCTGTTGATTCTGTTCGATCCTATACTTCGCTGTTTTTGCTGCCGTTTGGTGTCTCTTGGCATTCATACTTTGCGTGATCTCGGAGCTTTAATTCGCAAGGTGCTCGTTCTAACTCAGAGAGGCAGGGTGGCTCATACAGTTCCAGGTGCAAAAGCAGCGTGATCTCTGTCGTATTAAGCGCTGGCAGGATGGTGTCGAAACATAACTCTGAAATGTGGGAAAATTGGGGTAAAACGTCCTGCGATCATGAGCCTTGGTGGGTAAGTGAGACAGCACGCGTGACAGTCTCGTGGTGTTGGTACAGATGTTCTCGCTTAAGATCCCAGAGCAAAACACGCGCCGCGCGGGCTCTTGTGGCAAAACCTGAAAACCCCGGGCAAACGGGACATTATAGTCCCAAATTAAGTAAATTTGCATTGAAAGCGATTTTTCTTCGCTACTGGTTTTTACATTGTGAACGCGCTTGCTTCAACTTCGCATCGCACGGTTCTCCCCTATGGTCAAAGTCGCTTGACCGACGGGCAGAAATACACAAAATCCTTACTGTTTGATGCCATTATTTACGGGATTC